AGCAAACCTAATTATGTATTATATATCATATACATCATATATACCATACATACCATATATATCATATGCAATACACAACATAACAAACAGCATAATATATAACATAATATACAACATAACACAATACATAGCATATATATATAATATATACACCATATATTATATATGACCTAATTATATGCTAAATTAAAGTAGAGTGCTTTAAGCCTGGCCTTGAATGTGGAGACCGTATCTGCTTCCTTAACCTAAATGAAGCTGATTCCACAGTAAAGGAGCTTGGAGCTAAATGCTCTGCCACCAACAGTGACCTTTGAGACCTTAGGGACCACCAGACGTCTGGCGTTTTGTGAGCGCAACGCTCGACTTGGTTGATACGACACTAACGTGTCTTGGAGATAAGAAGGAGCCAAGCCATTTATGGCTTTATATGTTAAGAGAAGGATTTTAAACTTTATTCTGTACTCCACAGGGAGCCAGTGGAGTGATTTTAACACCGGAGTTATGTGCTCCCTCCTTTTGGTACCTGTTAAGATCCTAGCTGCTGTATTCTGAACGAGCTGGAAGCTCTTCAAAGAGGCTTTAGGGCACGCTGCCAGTAAAGCGTTACAGTAGTCGAGCCTTGAGGTGACAAACGCGTGAATGAGTTTTTCCGCGTCACTTTTAGGAAGGAAATTCCTAATTTTAGCGATGTTCCGTAAGTGGAAGTACGCCGTTTTAGTTGCTTGGCTTATATAAGCCTTGAAGGAGAGTTCTTGGTCAAAAATGACTCCAAGATTCCTCACAGTGTTACTGGGTATAATACTGACATTATCGAGAGTAACCATCTGGTTAGTGAGGGAGTCACGCAGGCGCTTCGGACCGAGTAGGATCACTTCTGTCTTCTCCGGGTTGAGAAGTAGGAAGTTAAGAGTCATCCACATTTTAAGGTCCTTTATGCAGGCACTGAGCTTTTCCAGCTGATCTGTCTGATTTGGCTTCATCGACAGTTAAAGCTGTGTGTCATCTGCAGCAGTGGAAATTAATTCCATGCTTTTTAATAATGTTTCCCAGTGGCAGCATGTAGAGAGTGAAAAGAATTGGTCCGAGTACCGAACCCTGCGGCACACCGAATTCTACTCCAGAATAAGGCGACGAGTTCTGATTTACCTTGACGAAGTGATACCAATCTGATAAATAGGATTTAAACCAGCCAAGGGCTGTTCCTCTAAGACCTATATCACATTCTAGCCTCTGCAGTAGAATTCTGTGGTCTATTGTGTCAAATGCAGCACTAAGGTCCAGTAGGACCAGCACTGACACTTGGCCATTATCAGCAGCTAGTAGTAAGTCATTTGTGACTTTGACTAGTGCCGTTTCAGTGCTATGATGAGCTCTGAATCCAGATTGAAAGACTTCAAACATATTATTTTCCTGCAGGTGGCAGCGAAGCTGCTCAGCTATAAGTTTTTCCAGGATTTTAGATATAAAAGTGAGGTTTGAGATCGGTCTGTAGTTTGTAAGTATTTCTGGGTCCAGGTTTGTTTTCTTCAGAAGGGGTTTGATTACCGCGGTTTTAAAAGCTTGTGGGACATAGCCACTTTGTATGGATGCGTTTATTATATTTACGATAGGCTCAATTATCAAAGGAAGTATGTCTTTGAAGAGCCATGTCGGGACTGCGTCTAACATGCAAGTTGAGGCTTTTGAGGATGTGACCACAGAGATCTCCTCTGCTTGGCTCACAGCCATGAATTTATCGAGGCCCACTGAAGAGTCTAAGTGGGAAGTCACGTATGCCGCTTCAACCTGTCCACTACCAACAGCAGGAGTAACCTCCTCCAGTTTGTCACGGATGGATGTCATTTTATTATTAAAGAAGTGGAGAAAGTCGACACTGCTCAGTGAGCTTGGAATTTTAGGCTCGATTGCGCTATGGCAGTTTGTGAGTTTAGCGACGGTGCTAAACAAAAATCTACTGTTATTTTTATTGGCTTCTATTAAAGTTGAATAGTATTGAGTTCGAGCCCCGCGAAGGGCCTTCTTGTAGTTTCGGAGACCTGCTTTCCACTCCCTGTGGACAGGCTCCGAGTGGGAGTGGCGATATAGCCTCTCCAATTTTCTGACGTCCTGTTTTAAAGTGTGGAGTTGAACACTGTACCAGGGCGACGATGATCTAATCCTAATAGTTTTCTGTTTTAAAGGAGCTGCTGCATTTAATGCAGATTTGAAAGACTCCATAGTGTTGCCCACCGTTTGGTCAATGACTGAGGGACTGCAGCTGCTGTGAACAGGTTCACCTGCAGCAGTATTCAACATAGGCTGTATTAGTTGTATTAGTCTTCATGACTCCATAAGTTTTATATAATTCATATGACAGCTTTACAATATGAATATTCTAAAACCACAGGTTGTACTGAAAAAAACAAAGTATACTGCTTGACTCTGCCTCAAAAGATGACTGTTTTATGAGCAATTATACACAAAGAAAACCAGGCGAGGAAGGTTCCCCAAAATGACCCACGTGCTTAGAGGGTTAATGGAAACGGCGCTTTTGCAAAATACTGATTTTGCGAATGTTGCAATGTATTGAAACAAAATGTGAATTGAATTACGGAAATGCAACTACTGATTTGACATGTTCGCGCTTTAGAGCTGCAAGAGATATCAAATCAAAAGTAGAGTGGTCAGCTATTTTTGATATTATGCAATTAACAAAACAAAACAATGTAATGGTTTTTTTTTCCGAAAGAAGACAGCATTTGCTTCTGCCAGTTATAGTGGTAATTTGTAACATCCTATATATATATATATATATATATATATATATATAGCAGCTGGATGGCTCAGTTGGTAGGGCGCAGGGCTGGAACCTGGGAGGCCAGGGTTCGAATGTGGGTCCTTGGGCAAGACTCTTAATGCTACTGCCTAACTCATAACCATGAAGTCACAAATAAGCAATGAGTTGCCGGATCAGCCGTCGCCCGGTGTTCTGTGGAGTTGGTCTTCCTCAGCTGTTAATGATGTAATGCAAACCAGCGCTGCGCGTCTCAGGGCAGCCAAAGCAATCCAAGATGGCGGACATGTAGTCCGCGAATTGCTTTAAAGTTAAATACGAACAAATTAAGACACGTGTGTTTTTAGAGTAAGAGTTTTGTGTAAAGTTTGTTTTAAGCAGTCCACTGATCCTGTGAAACTACACTGCTAGTGTGCCCAAATCTGACTTGCGCATGTGCAGAAACCTGCCAGAATGGGGAAAAAACTTGATCTAATTGAATATTTTGTTTGAACACACTACTGTTAATCATATTGAATACAGTATGATACATGCATAGTATTACCATCACAGAGGCAGACGTACTTTCTCGAAAAGCTTGAGAAATACCAAGGGCTCAAAGAGGAGATGGAGAGGGCCTGGAGGGTAAAGGTGAGAGTAGTGCCCGTGGTGATCGGTGCACTCGGGGCAGTGACCCCGAGTGCACCGCTGGTTACAGCGGATCCCTGGAACAACCTCGGAAATCTCGGCCCAGAAATGTGCAGTGCTAGGAACAGCAAAGATACTGCGCAGAACCCTCAAGCTCTGCGGTAGCCCTCCTTCTTGCACTGAGGGTGTCTCAGCCTTCCAGGACGATTACGGTTCCAAATGGTTCTCAATGGAAAGAGCCTTGTAACAGCAAAGCGTGACCAAATCAGACCACACACATGCTGTCTTCATCATACTTGCCCTGTGAGAGAGCTGATTCGCTGAGTGATGGTGATTATCTGTACTTAATTAGAACGATATATTACAAAAATTCTATAGCAAAATTCACAGTAGAATAATGTATTATAATACATTATAGTACACTGTATAAGGTAACTATAATGTACCTTTTACAGTATGTAAAGTTAACCCTTTAGGACCCATGACATGACATGCTTCATGACCCTCTGAAACCAGGACACTTTCTACACAGCAACGTGGCTTCACTAAAACAATTTTTAAACATTTATAGTTGACTTGACAGAGACAAAGTACATGAATGGGCATTACAGTAGATCCATCCATTTTCTTCCCCTTAATCCATTTCTGGGTTGGGGGTGGCAGTCAGAGGTGCACCCAGTACACATAGCACATAGTGCTCTAGTCTGAGCTGGCTTGATTTTTCAGCGGGGGCGTCAGGCAAAGTGGGGTTAAGTATCTTGCCCAAGGACACACCGACATCAGACACCGATGTCCGGGAGTCGTGAAGTAGGTCTCGTGGTGGGTTTGAACCCACGACCTTTTTTTTTTACTTTAGTTGCATTCAAAAGCCAGATCCAGGGCAGGGCCTGGTTAGTACTGTGATGGGAGACCTCTGGGAACACCAGGTGCCACAGGGGGGCGGCTGCAGCTGTAAAGTGCCAAAGTGTTATTGTGTCCTTAAGCAAGATACTTCACCCACATTGCCTAGAATGAGTCTGGTGTGTGTGTGAATGACTGGTGGTGGTTGGAGGGGCCGATGCACAGGCTGCCTTGCTTCTGTCAGTGTGTGTGTGTGTGTGTGTGGAGTGAAAGAATAATGACTTGAGAAGCCTTTTTGAGTGTCTTGAAAAGCGCTATATAAAACCAATGTCTTATTTAGTCGTATTCTTGTAAAGGCTTGTTTCTGAATTTTTTTATAAACTCTGGTTCCAAAGTAGCAGAATCGAGTTCATGGCTGTCTAAACTGTGACCTGGCTTCATGCAAACGGATCCCTATTTATCGCGCCACCTTTTTCTGTTTCATGGAAAATGTCTATTTATGTATATTTTTACTGTGTTTTTTTTCACTGATATTTTCTGAAGTTTTCTTAACGTATAATTGGCAGAGGTCCTTCCTCAAATACCTCAGCTCCTGCTCTCAGTAAGGGAAGGATGGAGGGAGAGATTGATGGACGGTCGGAGCAGAATCTGGATTTACAGCTATGGAGTTACAGCACAGTCTATGTTCCTTTGGGGAAGGACCCAAAGTATCCTACATGACCAATGAAAACTAAAAGCACTGTCCTTGTTTGTGTTGTAGGCTTCGATCGAGTGAAAGAGGACCTGCTGCCGTTGTCTATGAAAGACGATACGCACTCCATTTCCAAAAGCAAGGTAAACTCAGAGTCAGAATCCCAAATTTTTCTGTTATCGTAAGTAAAAGGAAGTCACAGACTAGGCATTTGTTTTGGCTCAAGGTGCCAACAAGTCATAAAAGTAAAAATAGATTAACAGCCTATTCATTCATTTCCACCATTCATCTCTCGTAGATAAGCCTTTCAAGATATCATTTGGGTTAAGTAAGTAAGTAATCTTTATTTATATAGCGCCTTTCACATACCAGTGTCACAAAACGCTTTACAATTGTGGGCAATTGTCTCTCCCTCCACACAGCGATGGGAGTGGGGTTAGAGATTAAGCTATAGATGTGTATTGTATAGAGGTGCACCGATCGATCGATAGCCAATTATAATCGGCCGATCACGGCTTAATTTGCTGATCGGTGAAATGTGCCGATCACAAAGACCGATCAGATGACATGAGGATTCATGCTCTCAAGTTACTCTCTCTCGTCGAAACTGCGTAAACAAGCAACTCATGCAGCTTTCAGTGACGTAGATTCTACAGCGGCAACAACCACAGTAATGACGTAAGAAACAACACCAAATATGCACCAAAGTTATGGAAATTATCCCCCTCTGCCCCCAGCGCTCGTCTGTTGCGCTGGGTTCAAACAGCTCATGTTCACTGCTTCAATCTGCCATCACAGAGATATCTGACTGATGTCTGCCTGTCACAGAGATATCTGACTGATGTCTGCCTGTCACAGAGATATCTGACTGATGTCTGCCTGTCACAGAGATATCTGACTGATGTCTGCCTGTCAAAGAGATATCTGACTGATGTCTGCCTGTCAAAGATATCTGACTGATGTCTGCCTGTCACAGAGATATCTGACTGATGTCTGCCTGTCACAGAGATATCTGACTGATGTCTGCCTGTCACAGAGATATCTGACTGATGTCTGCCTGTCAGAGATATCTGACTGATGTCTGCCTGTCACAGAGATATCTGACTGATGTCTGCCTGTCAAAGATATCTGACTGATGTCTGCCATCAGAGATATCTGACTGATGTCTGCCTGTCAGAGATATCTGACTGATGTCTGTCTGTCAGAGAGATATCTGACTGATGTCTGCCATCAGAGATATCTGACTGATGTCTGCCTGTCACAGAGATATCTGACTGATGTCTGCCATCAGAGATATCTGACTGATGTCTGCCTGTCAGAGATATCTGACTGATGTCTGTCTGTCAGAGAGATATCTGACTGATGTCTGCCATCAGAGATATCTGACTGATGTCTGCCTGTCAGAGATATCTGACTGATGTCTGCCTGTCACAGAGATATCTGACTGATGTCTGCCTGTCACAGAGATATCTGACTGATGTCTGCCTGTCACAGAGATATCTGACTGATGTCTGCCTGTCACAGAGATATCTGACTGATGTCTGCCTGTCACAGAGATATCTGACTGATGTCTGCCTGTCACAGAGATATCTGACTGATGTTTGCCTGTCACAGAGATATCTGACTGATGTCTGCCTGTCACAGAGATATCTGACTGATGTCTGCCTGTCACAGAGATATCTGACTGATGTCTGCCTGTCACAGAGATATCTGACTGATGTCTGCCTGTCACAGAGATATCTGACTGATGTCTGCCTGTCAAAGATATCTGACTGATGTCTGCCTGTCACAGAGATATCTGACTGATGTCTGCCTGTCAAAGATATCTGACTGATGTCTGCCTGTCAAAGATATCTGACTGATGTCTGCCTGTCACAGAGATATCTGACTGATGCCTGCCTGTCACAGAGATATCTGACTGATGTCTGCCTGTCACAGAGATATCTAACTGATGTCTTCCTGTCACAGAGATATCTGACTGATGTCTGCCTGTCAGAGAGATATCTGACTGATGTTTGCCTGTCACAGAGATATCTGACTGATGTCTGCCTGTCACAGAGATATCTGACTGATGTTTGCCTGTCACAGAGATATCTGACTGATGTCTGCCTGTCACAGAGATATCTGACTGATGTCTTCCTGTCACAGAGATATCTGACTGATGTCTGCCTGTCACAGAGATATCTAACTGATGTCTTCCTGTCACAGAGATATCTGACTGATGTCTGCCTGTCACAGAGATATCTGACTGATGTCTGCCTGTCACAGAGATATCTGACTGATGTCTGCCTGTCACAGAGATATCTGACTGATGTCTGCCTGTCAGAGATATCTGACTGATGTCTGCCTGTCAGAGATATCTGACTGATGTCTGCCTGTCACAGAGATATCTGACTGATGTCTGCCTGTCACAGAGATATCTAACTGATGTCTGCCTGTCACAGCTTTACCAAACTGTATATTCTCACATTGACACTCCAGAGCATGGATCTATGATAATAACGAGCCAGAGTCACACCGCACAGACACAGCACAGACAGAACACACTCAGCAGCGAGACGCTGTCGTTACAGAAACATCCTGTGTCAGGAGTTTGTATGTTATGTTCACAGAAATATTAAATTAAGATGAGTGTAGTGGTACAGACAGTCCTACAGTGTAGTACAGGCAGTCCTACAGTGTAGTACAGACAGTCCTACAGTGTAGTACAGACAGTCCTACAGTTTAGTACAGGCAGTCCTACAGTGTAGTACAGACAGTCCTACAGTGTAGTGTAGTCCTACAGTGTAGTACAGTGTAGTACAGACAGTCCTACAGTGTAGTGTAGTACAGACAGTCCTACAGTGTAGTACAGACAGTCCTACAGTGTAGTACAGACAGTCCTACAGTGTAGTGTAGTACAGACAGTCCTACAGTTTAGTACAGACAGTCCTACAGTGTAGTACAGACAGTCCTACAGTGTAGTGTAGTACAGACAGTCCTACAGTGTAGTGTAGTACAGACAGTCCTACAGTGTAGTACAGGCAGTCCTACAGTGTAGTACAGACAGTCCTACAGTGTAGTGTAGTACAGACAGTCCTACAGTGTAGTGTAGTACAGGCAGTCCTACAGTGTAGTACAGGCAGTCCTACAGTGTAGTACAGACAGTCCTACAGTGTAGTGTAGTACAGACAGTCCTACAGTGTAGTGTAGTACAGACAGTCCTACAGTGTAGTGTAGTACAGACAGTCCTACAGTGTAGTGGTAGTCAGCCGCTTGTTTATTAAAAGCAAAATAAAAGGCGCTTCCCTCCTTTGGCCAAAGCAGTCTTTCCTCTGCTCCGTGCACAAGTGCAGACAGTGAGAGTTTACGCAGCAGGACTATTCAGGACGATAAACATAATAAACCCCTGCTAATGCTGAGATGCTAATATTACTGAAGAAAAAACATTGTCTTAACGATCTCCCCTTAATCAGTTTAGAAATGCAGCATGTACAGTGTTGATGTGATTCAATGTATCTCAATGCTCTGTAACGTATACTTGTGGTTCCCAACCTTTTTGTCTTGAGTACCCTAGGGCATTTTATTTATACTTCCTAGTACCTTGATGCTTTTGAAAGATTAGTTATAAAGAAACTATTGGTAATATAACGCTGAATGTCATCATCGGCCTCAAACAGCTCCGCTGGTGTGTCCCACTCAGCAAAAAGCAGACGCCTTTTTCTCTGGCATCTCTAACATTTATAATAAATACATAAATATAACAATCATAATGAAGATGCTTTCAAATAATTTAGCAAGCTGTAAACCATTTATGTTCTAACTCCACACGGCTCCTCCCCTGCCAAACTTCTCTCTGCTCTCTCCTCCGCAAACCACCACAGTGAGAAAAAGGGAATATTCACTTAATCTATTTTGAATGTTACACAATATTAATATAGGCTAAGCACGCGTAACATCTGTAGCCTGTGTAATTACCATAGACTAATATTAAAGTAATTACGCACCTGCTTTGAAGGCCTGTGATGCCCACAGCGTCATCAGTCTACGCGCCTCTGTGTGGATTCACGTCTCTCATCGGGCTAGAGCTATGGCTGGAGCATTTTGATGGTTCTAAAGCAGGAGTCTGGAAGGTGGCGATCTTACCGGTGTTTGTGATGTTGAGTTGAGGCGAGTAGAGTCGGGCCCGTGGAAACAGCCCTTTAGATGTCATCCATGTAGAGGAGGTGACTGATCTTTGCTCCGTTCCTGAGGCGGTATCCAGAGCCAGTCTGGTCAATTACTTGGCTTAGAGGGTTGAGGCCTATGCAGAACAGTAGTGGGGACAGAGCATCTCCTTGGTAGATACCACATTTGATGGTCACTTGTGCGAGCGGCCATTTGCCTCAAGGGTGGTCTTCCACATTCCCATGGAGTTTGCAACGAAGTCCCTTAGAGCCCTGTTGATATTGTACAACTTCAAGCATTCCATGATCCATGTGTGTGGCATTGAGTCGTAGACTTTCTGGTAATCAATCCAGGCTGTGCACAGGTTGGTGACCGGCAGTCTTGGGCGACTTTTCTGTCAACCAGGAGCTGGTGTTTGGCTCCTCTGGTGTCTCTACCAATAGCAATGCAAGACTAAATTTTTTGAATTACCAAATCAGATTTAATTTATCACAGTATTTTCCAGCTCAGCAAGAGGAATAAAAATCGGATAAGTGGTTGTGATTTTATTACCATATTGATAAGTGCTTATAGTGAAATTAATTTGACTTAAAACAAAGGGATACTGAGGAACCTTCTATTCAGCCATTTCAAGCCTTTCATCTTCTAAGTGCTGTAACTTCCCTAGTTTACTAACTATCAACATGAAAATTCACAGTCAAGAAGGAAACAATTCAGGGATGTTGAATTCGAGATTAATTTTACAATTTGGCCGACTCCGATTCCAATATTGCCGCCAGCTTATCCAAGATGGCTGCCAACAAGAAATCCGGGAATTTCTTTTTTTTCAATCATTTTTTTATTAGTATCAATACTTAATATATGGCACCTTTTTCCGGTCGAGCACCATGGCCTCAGATTTGGAGGTGCTGATTGTCATCCCAGCCGCTTCACACTTGGCTGAAAACCGCCCCAGTGCATGTAGTAGGTCCTGGTTTGTTGGTGCCAACAGGACAACATCGTCTGCAAAAAGCAGAGATGAAATCCTGTGGTCCCCGAACGGGACCCCCTTTGGCCCCTGGCTGCGCCTAGAAATTCTGTCCACAAAAACAGTGAACAGAACCGGTGACAAAGGGCAGCCTTGGCGGAGGCCAACATGCACCGGGAACAGGTCTGACTTACTGCCGGCAATGCGAACACAGCTCTGGCTCCGGTCATACAAGGACCGAACGGCCCTCAGTAGAGGACCCCGGACCCCGTACTCCCAGAGGACCCCCCAAAGGACACCCCGGGGAACACGGTCGAACGCCTTCTCCAAATCCACAAAGCACATGTGGACAGGTTGGGCAAACTCCCATGAACCCTCGAGTATCCGATGGAGAGTGTAGAGTTGGTCAAGTGTTCCGCGACCGGGACGAAAACCACACTGCTGCTCCTGAATCCGAGATTCGACCATCGGTCGTAGTCTCCTCTCCAGTACCTTGGAGTAAACCTTACCGGGGAGGCTGAGCAGTGTGATCCCACGATAATTGGAACACACCCTCCGGTCCCCCTTCTTGTAGAGAGGGACCACCACCCCAGTCTGCCACTCCATTGGCACCGCCCCAATCGCCACGCGATGTTGCAGAGACGTGTCAACTAAGACAGTCCTTCAACATCCAGAGACTTAAGACGCCTTGCCACCATGGAGGTTGCCAATCACCTTGGTGACCTCAGCTAGGGAGATAGAAGTATCCGCCCCAACATCCTCAGCCTCTGCCTCTGACGGAGGACGTGACGGGGGGATTGAGGAGAACCTCGAAGTATTCCTTCCACCGCCCGACAATATCCCCAGTTGAGGTCAGCAGCTCTCCACCCGCACCGAACACGGTGTTGGCAAAGAACTGCTTCCCCCTCCTGAGGCGCCAGACAGTTTGCCAGAATCTCTTCGAGGCCGACCGATAGTCATGCTCCATGGACTCTCCAAAGTCCTCCCATTCCCGGGTTTTTGCCCCTGCAACAGGCCGGGCCGCGGCACGCTTGGCCTGACGGTACTGGGTTCGTAGGCCTCAGGAGTCCCACAAACCATCATGGCTCGATAGGACTCCTTCTTCAGCCTGACGGCAACCCTTACTGCTGGTGTGCACCACCGGGTTCGGGAGTTGCCGCCGGGACCAGCACCAGACACCTTTCAACCACAGCTACGAGCCACCGCATCGGCGATAGAGGTGGAGAACATAGTCCACTCAGACTCCTCCGCCGGGACCTGGGAGAAGCTCTCCCGGATGTGTGAGTTGAAAGTTCGTCTGACAGGGGGCTCAGTGAGACGTTCCCAGCAGACCCTCACTACACGCATGGGTCTGCCAGGTCTGACCGGCTTCCTCCCCTGCCAGCGGATCCAACTCATGACCAGGTGGTGATCGGTTGACAGCTCCGCCCCTCTCTTCACCCGAGTGTCCGAGACACGCGGCCGAAGGTCAGATGATACAACAACAAAGTCGATCATTGACCTCCGGCCTAGGGTGTCCATGTTCGACCACACCATTGTGCTCGAACATGGTGTTCATGATGGAGAAACCGTGACTAGCACAGAAGTCCAGCAACTGAACACCACTCGGGTTCAGATCAGGGGGGCCGTTCTTCCCGATCACCCCTCTCCAAGTGTCACTGGCATTTCCCACATGGGCGTTGAAGTCCCCCAGGAGAATAACGGGGTCCCCGGTCGGTTCACTTTCCAGTTCACCCCCCAAGGACTCCAAGAAGGCCGGGTACTCTGCACTGCTGTTAGGCCCGTAGGCCGTTAAAACAGTGAGAGACTTGTCCCCCACCCGGAGGCGGAGGGACGCGACCCTCTCATTCACCCGGGGAAAACTCCAACATGTGGCGGCTGAGACGGGGGTTAATGAGTATGGCCACCCCTGCTCGCCGCCTCTCCCCGCGGGAAACACCAGAGAAGTGGAGTGTCCAACCCCTCTCAAGGAGTTGGGTTCCAGAGCCCAAGCTGTGTGTGGAGGTGAGGCCGACTATCTCTAGTCGGTATCTCTCAACCTCCTCCACGAGCTTGGGCTCCTTCCCCCCCAGTGAGGTGACGTTCCACGTCCCAAGAGCCAGATGTTGGGTGTGCGTACTGGGTCGCCGAAGTCTCCCCCTTCGACTGCCGCCCAGTCCTCTTCGCACCACGCCAGCATGGACCCCTCTGCAGGTGGTGGGCCCACAGGAGGGACTGCCCACGGCGACCTTTTGGGCTGAGCCCGGCCACCAGGCGCTCGCGTTTGAGCCCCGACCCCAGGCCTGGCTCCAGGGTGGGGCCCCGGCTGCGCCATGCCGGGCGACGTCACTGTTCTTGTCTTAGTGCTGTCCATGATGGCTTCGGACTGCGCTTCATCTGACTCGTCAACCGAGACCTGTCTGCCATGGGAGACCCTACCAGGGGCATTAAGCCCCAGACAGCATAGCTCCCAGGATCAACAGAGTACTCAAACAGACCCCGTTAAAGTGGTGGGGGAATGCTATCAGCATTCAGAAGTATTATTTGGTATGTTGGTATATTTAACACCCATCCATCCATCCATTTTCTACCCTTTAATCCATTTCTGGGTCAGGGGGGTGGCAGTCAGAGATGCCACCCAAGTCTCATAGCACCAGCCCCTCACTGACCCTCTGCAGGTGGTGAGTCCACAGGAGGACGGCTGCTCTCTGAGTGTGAGCATAGCCTTGATCTTTCAGTGGGGGCTTTGGGCAAAGTGGGGTTAAGTGTCTTGCCCAAGGACACAACGACAGCAGTCATCAGTGGGAGTCGGTGGAGAAGGTGTAGAGGTGGGAATTTATATTTATATTTAACACAATATTCTTTTTTCTGCAGTCTGAGACCAAGCTGTACAATGGCTCGGATAAAGATGTGTCGACCTCTGGAGGAAAACTTACCAAGAAGGAATCTCTCAAGGTTCGTGCACTGTCTCATTTACTGTCTCATTCTTTGAAAAGTAATGATTGTGAATATGGATTGCTTTTATAAACATCCAACTATCCATCTTCAGCTGTTCCCCATTTCACAGAGCTCCAGCCCCTTTTATAACACTCACTATCAAAAAGCCACTAAACGCCAGAATTGTTTTTTAACCAACAAACTGTATAAATCTTTCTGAAATAGATTTAAGTTAAGAGAACCTTTTTTCGTCCCGCAGCAGGGACATTTCCGTAATACATCAGAAGTTATAGAACAGTAGGAAAGAGGAGCATACAGCACAAGTAAGTGAACCATAGCCATACTAATTAAAATAAAACAAAATCTCTATCTTGAATTATAATAATAAAAAGAAGTTTAAAAGATTTACATTCGGCAAAATAAGAGGCAAGTATAAAGTACTGTGTATTCCAGTGCAAGCAATATGTAGTTATCAGTAATGTGCGGACAGATGACGCATCATGGAAAGAAAAAATAATTAAATGGAAACAATAATACTTGGTCACTATATCAAATGATTTGTGCTATTGTATTATTTCCATGTAACTTTGCCTTATTTCATTTATATTTATCTTGAAATCTCAGATTTTCGTCATATTCTTCTCATATTTGACAGAGCAGCGCGCTGTGAGGCAAGCTATATATATATATATATATATATATATATATATATATATATATATATATATATATATATATATATATATATATATATATACAGTGCCTTGCGAAAGTATTCGGCCCCCTTGAACCTTTCAACATTTCGCCACATTTCAGGCTTCAAACAAAGATATACAAATTAAATGTTTTGTCAAGAATCAACAACAAGTGGGACACAATCGTGAAGTGGAACAAAATGTATTGGATAATTTAAACTTTTTTAACAAATAAAAAACTGAAAAGTGGGGCGTGCAATATTATTCGGCCCCTTGTGCTACTACTTTGTAGCGCCACCTTTTGCTGCAATTACAGCTGCAAGTCGCTTGGGGTATGTCTCTATCAGTTTTGCACATGGAGAGACTGGAATTCTTTCCCATTCTTCCTTGCAAAACAGCTTGAGCTCAGTGAGGTTGGATGGAGAGCGTTTGTGAACAGCAGTCTTCAGCTCTTTCCACAGATTCTCGATTGGATTCAGGTCTGGACTTTGACTTGGCCATTCTAACACCTGGATACGTCTATTTGTGAACCATTCCATTGTAGATTTGGCTTTATGTTTTGGATCATTGTCCTGTTGGAAGATAAATCTCCGTCCCAGTCTCAGGTCTTTTGCAGACTCCAACAGGTTTTCTTCCAGAATGGTCCTGTATTTGGCTCCATCCATCTTCCCATCAATTTTAGCCATCTTCCCTGTCCCTGCTGAAGAAAAGCAGGCCCAAAGCATGATGCTGCCACCACCATGTTTGACAGTGGGGATGGTATGTTCAGGGTGATGAGTGTTGCTTTTACGCCAAACATATAGTTTTGCATTGTGGCCAAAAAGTTCGATTTTAGTTTAATCTGACCAGAGCACCTTCTTCCACATGTTTGGTGTGTCTCCCAGGTGGCTTGTGGCAAACTTTAAACAAGACTTTTTATGGATATCTTTGAGAAATGGCTTTCTTCTCGCCACTCTTCCATAAAGGCCAAATTTGTGCAGTGCACGACTGATTGTTGTCCTATGGACAGACTCTCCCACCTCAGCTGTAGTTATCTACAGTTCATCCAGAGTGATCATGGGCCTCTTGTCTACATCTCTGATCAGTCTTCTCCTTGAAAGTTTGGAGGGACGGCCACGTCTTGGTAGATTTGCAGTGGTCTGATACTCCTTCCATTTCAATATAATTGCCTGCACAGTGCTCCTTGAGATGTTTAAAGCTTGGGAAATCTTTTTGTATCCAAATCCGGCTTTAAACTTCTCCACAACAGTATCTCGGACCTGCCTGGTGTGTTCCTTTGTCTTCATGGTTCTCTCTGGGCTTTAAACAGAACCCTGAGACTATCAAAGAGCAGGTGCATTTATACGGAGACTTGATTACACACAGGTGCATTCTATTTATCATCATCAGTCATTTAGGACAACATTGGATCATTCAAAGATGCTCACTGAACTTCTGGACTGAGTTTGCTGCACTGAAAGTAAAGGGGCTGAATAATATTGCACGCCCCCCAATTTCGTTCCACTTCACGATTGTGTCCCATTTTTTTTTTATATCTTTATATTTGAATATATATATATATATAAAAGCTAATAGTGCATATTAGCGCTGTCCAACGATTATTTGTTTTTATTGCAATTTATTTCATAAATGTCAAAGTAAACTCGCGATTAATGACAAATTTGTATCTATTCTTTATGTTCCTTGAATTATCATTTTAATACTCTCAACGTTCACACCAACAAAACACACAGATAACTTTGGTCTTGTCAGTCGACCCATCGCAAGGGCAGCAGTCTAAGCAGAGACCCTCAGACTTCCCTTTCCATGCACTTCCTCCAGCTCATCCAGGGGGACCCCAAAGTGTTCCCAGGCCAGCGGAGAAACATAGTTCCTCCCGCGCGTCCTCGGTCTTCCCTGCGGTCTCCTCCCGGGTTGTGACATGCCGTGAAAACCTCCCCAGGGGCCTCCCTGGAAACAGATGCCCGAGCCACCTCAACTGGTTCCTCTCGACGTGGAGAACTCCCGGAGCCTTGTCACCAAGGAGGCTGCCAACCACCTTGGTGATTTCAGCCAGTGAGATGGAAGTATCCGCTCCAACATCTTCAGTCTCTGCTTCCGAGAAGGAGGACATGACGGGGGGATTGAGGAGAACCTTGAAGTATTCTATTGTATGTACTTTATTTGAACAGGGACAGATGCATGTACCAGGTTATAGCAGAGATGCTAATTTCCACCTGTAGTCCCTGGGCAGGCTGATGTTATGTTCATTTAAACTGATTACAATGTAGATGGATACATGACTGTGTCTTACATTTACAGGCTTTAAATAACATAATTCACAAAACATTAAGTTTAATAACAATAAATAAAGCTCCCCAACTTCTACAAGAATATTACCCTCACTCACTCACGGCGGTTGAAGTGTTCCTTCAACCGCCCAACATTATCCCCAGTTGAGTTCAGCAGTTCTCCACCCAGTACTCGGTGTTGGCAAAGCACTGCTTCCTCGTCCAGTTTGCCAGAATCTCTTCGAGGCAGACCGATAGTCATGCTCCATGGACTCCCCAAACTTCTCCCAGTCCCGGGTTTTTGCCTCTGCAACAGCGTGAGCGGCGGCACGCACTGGTGTACCGGTACTGGACTGCTGCCTTAGGGCTCCCACGAACAATCATGGCTCGATAGGACTCCTTCTTCAGCCTGACGGCATCCCTTACTACCGGTGTTCACCACCAGGTTCAGGGGTTGCTGCCGGGACCAGCACCAGAGACCTTGCAACCACAGCTACGAGCCACTGTATTGGCGATAGAGGTCAAGAACATGGTCCACTCAGACTCACTGCCCCCTCCTCCCCCAGGACCTGGGAGAAGCTCTCCGGGAGCTGTGAGTCCGTCTGACCAGGGGGTTCAGCAAGACGTTGCTAGCTGATCTTCACTACATGCTTGGGTCTGCCAGGTCTGACCGGATTTCTCCCCTGCCAGCAGATCCAACTATATTAGAGTCTATTAAAGTACGGTGGCCTTTCAGTTGAGGAGCTCTCAGTCATTCACCAGACTGCCAAGGAAAGAATACTTTAGTTTGATAAATGACCGGATCTCTCCCAACGTCTCAGGCACTTGACAGTCGTGTGGAGACAACTTGTAAACAAGACCATGTTCAGACACGGCACCCTGCACAGAGGCTCTGAGTTTTACCATGAATCTAATATAATAGATAGTTTTACAAACGCGGTGTGAGGAGAAGTGACGCATGGAGGAATAACGTCTGCGGGAGCTTAAAACAACGATGATCAAAGAAGCAAGAGATATACACATCTGCGGCAGACATGGCTAAAAGCTCATGTTAGCATTAGCATTAGCCACAGCGCCCTATCTGCATCACGGTAAGAAACAGAACATTCACTCACGCTGCTCATAAAGTATTCTGGCGATTATTTTGTGGGGATTCTGTGTGTGTTTTACTTTAGGTTTTTTCCTTGAATAAGTTTATTTGAAACTTGTGACAGTAGTTGGACTGCGCTCAGATCGGGTCAGAATAGGGTCGCCAACTTGAGAACAAAAAAATAAGGGACACCATTTGGGTGGATTGAGTTGAGCACTTTTTAGTCCTAATTTTTATTTACACAGTAATCATGGAATTTTATAATCAGAGTTTTTAGAATGTAATTTCTTTACTACATGTTGGCTGGTTAAGGACTTAATGCATTCTTATTAGTAATAAAAAATATAAAAAAGACAAATGCTGTAACATAAATTATGTATGTATGTTACAGTAAAGACCATTTACTGTAAAAGCAAATAAAAAAAGAAAAACATATGTAGTCATTAAAAAAAAAACCTCACAAATAAAAGTCTGTAGCAGTTAGACATGGTCATTATTTATAGTGTCTGAGAGTTTAGTGTACATGGCTTCAGTAAAAGCTATTGTTCGTTTACAAAGCTGGTTGTTTGTTGAGCTTTTCTCTGCGCTTGCAGTGCATTGGATTCAATGGATTTCTCTGCATTAAAACAGTTAATTGGATTTGAAAAATTTTGTTTAACAAAGTAGCTTTTGTGAGATATTGACCACGGAAGTCCGAATCTGGGAATATGACTCTACTTTATCCATGAAACTTCTGCCGTGATGATGCCGCGGGCACGGCCCACGCTGGGGCTTGTCAACATGAATCCAATGTATGTGATCAAGTCTACGCCCCTTTGACTCTGATTGGCCAAAAGGTAGACGCTTAAACTGTGATTACTGTCTACGGTGCCTGCATAATAGATCCATGGGCGTGTGTGACATGCAGTGAGTGAGTGATGCATTTAAGGTGGCTCTGAAAATACGGGACAAAAGCAATCCCGTATCAGTTCAATACGGGACGCACATAGTTTTTCTGTAATACGGGATAATTCAAGGAACGGTTGGCAACCCTAGGTCAGAACATCCTGAGACTGTGTTGCAGATTCTGCCTCGTTCTCATTATTGTATTGTATTGTCATTATTGTGTACAAAGTACACAATTTGCCTCCTGCCTCCTGCAGTTTGCTGCTATGACGCTGGACTTCTGCATAATTATTTTTCTAAAAGATTGTTGTTCGGATCGTTCTTTTATATAACTGTGGTCCTCCAAGGTTTTTTTTATATAACTGTGGTCCTTCATGGTTCTTTTATATAACTGTGGTCCTCCATGGTTTTTTTATATAACTGTGGTCCTCCATGGTTCTTTTATATAACTGTGGTCCTCCATGGTTTTTTTTATATAACTGTGGTCCTTCATGGTTCTTTTATATAACTGTGGTCCTCCATGGTTCTTTTATATAACTGTGGTCCTCCATGGTTCTTTTATATAACTGTGGTCCTCCATGGTTCTTTTATATAACTGTGGTCCTCCATGGTTCTTTTATATAACTGTGGTCCTCCATGGTTCTTTTATATAACTGTGGTCCTTCATGGTTCTTTTATATAACTGTGGTCCTTCATGGTTCTTTTATATAACTGTGGTCCTTCATGGTTCTTTTATATAACTGTGGTCCTCCATGGTTCTTTTATATAACTGTGGTCCTCCATGGTTCCTTCTTCCAACTTGTGAAGGCACGGTGAAAGCAACAATATCAGTAGCTCCTGTGAAACGAAAACGCGATTCTCGCATTTTTTTGTCCCTTATCCACCACCGTTTTTCAAGATGGCACATTTAGAGAGCACCCCTCTCTCATGGACACTTATAAGTTACATTTTAAGCCCATGAATACAAATCAAAAAACATGGTGGAGGTAAATATTCTTAAAAAGGTCACATTTGTTATTAGTCAACATGTTTTTGCATATGGAGCAGCTGTAAAATTTACACGGGGGCTTTAAACTGAATTTTGTGTAAACTTTGCAATTTCTGTATAACCAAAATACAGAAATTCATGAATGTTTTAAGATCCATTTTATTCGTCCATACTGCTAAGGCCATACTGATCCGCTGCAGTCCCTCATACTGCACACTTCAAAACCAAAACCCAAGGCCAGCGAGTGCACCACATCCAAATCATATGCCACGTAATCCTGGATCAGTACCAACAAACTTTAATGCAAGGCAGGGTTTTACCCCGCTTTAGTTTCCTCATGGTGTGCTCTCCTCCATACCATGGTCGCCTACGCTTCAGGTCCTCTTGGCGCCTACATTGGTGGCCGCGGTGCCTTTACCTGTGTGTCAGGGCATTAAGCATGGCCAGCGCTCCTCTCTCACACCGTGGGTTCCCCAAAGCCTCTACCCTGCCTCTACGCGACCAGGTCGCAATGATCTGGACTTATTCACACTAAAGGGTACAAAAGTGTGACAAAAGGCCCAAAATGTGATTTTAATAATCAGAAGATATATTATGTTTTTCATGTATTCAAATCCCTCCTCTGTCCATTAGAAGTTGCTAGAACAGTGGTTCTCAAACTTTTCACACCAAGTACCCCCTCAGAAAATACTTGCCTCTCCAAGTACCACCACAAATGACCACACCACAGTAGCGTAGTAAGCCGAAGTATTCATCAATAACAAGGCAGAGGTTTCATTCCTAAAGAAGTATATTTAATGTAATATTTTACACAGTTTCAACAGTAAGACTGCGCTTAAATATAGGGAAAAAAAATTGTTTTAAATGTTTCATTAATTGCGAACTGCAAAGCCTCACTGTGAATGATGTTCTGGAGTGAGATCTTTGTCCACAGAAGGTTTGGACTCTGGTGCACTTTAGTTTCTAAGGCTTGCTCTGCTGCCCTCTTACATCTGTCGTTTACTCACAGAGACATGTTCTCATGGTTTGGATCAAATGATCGTTTGTTGCTCTCTGTTCCTTTTGCACAGAACTGGGAAAAAAACCTGCTCCTTCTACATGGAACGTGTTGCAAAAAGACTAGAAATGATCTGATCTTATTTCCTTGAATGCTTTTAGATCCAGATTGAGACATCTTCAGTGAAATGTAACTGTTTTTATAATCCGTAATTTTATGAAATTGTGTGTTACTGTTGTATAATCTGTATGTGACTATTTTATCATCTGTATGTGACTGTTTTATCATCTGTAATTTTATGTAATTTTTGTACACGAAAAAGAGGTTCTCATGGACTGCCAGCCATTTTTTGATGACTTCACTGATTTTTAAGACTCACAGAATATTGTGTGCTATGAAAAATATGAAACCAGAGTCTGAAAGACAGGACTGTCTACTTTCAGCAGCAAAAAGAAGTTTGTTCTTAGTTTGTTTCGTTCTCCTGTGATCTCCAGTCGAAAAGAGGAGAGTGTGACAAAAAGCACCAGTCTTAGACAAAAAAATTTGAAAATGAGGTTTTTGTGAAAACAGACGAACTGCAGAAAAGTGATTGTAAAACTATTTAGTTTAACTTTAGCATCTCCTCAAACATGTCCAGGATCTTACATGTTAGAAAACAGCAACACGTTTTGAGAAAGTGTTTTTAATGTAAAATAATAAGTTTTATGGCACACACACATCCACAAAGTGTTGCTCAAAAATTTCAAAATGTACTCATCCAAAAAATGTCAAAATGTACATATTGAAAGTAGAGCCCATGACAAACTCTGGCAGATAGAATGGCCAGTATTCATCCATTAGGTGGCACTATATTTATGTCAATAAGAGTAAATCAAAGAATAACAAAATTACAATGATAAACACTATACATGACAATAAATCAAAGTGAATACTTATACTTATAGTATAAGTGCAACAGAATACTGCTGTGTGTCTTTGTGTGTTTGGGCGTGCATGTATGTGCGTTTATGCACGCGTTTGTGTGTTTTTGTGTGGTTACATCTACAGAGCGTCTGTTTAGTCCGGCGTGCGCTGTGACCATATCTGGACTTTGCTGCTGGCTCCTGGTGTGGACTCAGTGATAATTTTAGCAATAGTCCACTTTTCTGTGGCTTTTTTGAGGTGCTCCACTGGTCTGCTGTCCTGACCCTCCACATGGTCTGCTGCTAGGACCCTCCACATGGTCTCTGTCAGCTCTGGAGACACATTTACTGCTCAAACTGCCTCCAAATGTAGCCTGACCCTGACTATATTACTCCATGTCTGCTTCACCTCTGTCTCTCCTGCTCAGAGTGCTCAGAGTGATCTTTGACCAAACCAGGGAGTTCTGCTGCCACCTGCTGGCTTAATAAAATACTGTCTACAGCCAAACTCCAGACTGTATGATACAGGGGACACAGACTGACAGGAAAAGATTGAAAAGCAATGTTGTCCTCAAATGACATCCATGGCTGTCAATGAGTTAATCTCAATGGGACTTTCCTGGTAAAAATAAAAAAAAAAAAAAAAAAAATTCACAGATTTTTTTTTTTTTCACAGATTCTTTGGCGTACCCCTAGAGGGCGCCCGCGTACCACTAGGGGTACGCGTACCCCAGTTTGAGAAACCCTGTGCTAGAACATTATTGTGGTTCTATATGAATGATCTTGATACATTTTTGTTGAGTAATGGTCAAATCTGCTTTGTGTATGTTGATATATATGTTATTTTGCCCCAGGGCAGCTGTTTTATATAGTCCAAAAAAGCACTATATAAAACCGATGCATTATTATCTAGGGACATGTGATTTAAAATTCAATCTTAAGTTTTTGGTAGTAAGTCATTACTTTATAGCGCCTTTCACACACTGATGGGAACATGTGTGTGGTTGTTGTTTCCAGGTGCAGAAGAAAAACTACCGTGAGGAGAAGAAGCGGGCGACTAAAGAGCTGCTCAGCACCATCACGGACCCCTCGGTGATTGTCATGGCTGACTGGCTCAAGGTCTGCTTCAGCTTTATTCCATTCACTTCTATTAAATACATTGATTACACTAGGCAGGCTATGCCCCTCCATTGATGTTATCTATGAATTGAAATCTGAAACTTACCAAAGTTACTAACAAAAGTGAATACACCTTTCAGATAGCCTAGTATTTGGTTACAAGTTGGTTGTGTGTATGGTATGGTATCCTATGTACTTTATTTGAGCAGGGACAGTCTACAATTACATGTAGAAAAACATTAACACAAAGGAGAGATGCATTGTACCAGGTTATAGCAAAGATGCTAATTTCCACCTGTAGTCCCTGGGCAGGCTGATGTTATATTCATTTAAACAGATTCTAATGGAGATAGATACAGACTTACTGAAATGTCAGTCTGTGTCTTACATTTACAGACTTTAAATAACATCATTCACAAAACATTTGATTTAATACCAATAAATACAGTTCCTCAACTTCTGCTAAAATATTACCCTCACTCACACGTATGTGCAAAGTTGCTTTTTCAGAAAGCATTTCTTAGTTAGACAAGAAAATGTTTTAAATGTAGTACACACAATAATCTCTGTGGGCAGAAAAAATTCTCCCCTCCCTCCCATGGGTCCACCAATCCCAACATAAACACACACACACACACACACACACACACACACACAGCCCCCCTAGGCCCCCCACCCCCATTCTCCAGGTATCAATAACATTTCATTACTTACTAATAAAACATATTACAGACACATAATATGGCGAACTTCCTTCGTCATTGACATCCACAGAAGCCGCTGTATATACAGTACATATCTACACAAAAAAAGTGACAATACAGTACAGAAAGGCTGAAAAAAAAGTAGATGACGGACAGTACACCCCAGTCCCCCCCCTCTCCATCACACTGGACCAGGTGAGGAATCAGCTCCAGCGCCTGAAGCTGAGGAAATCCGCAGGACCGGACGGGATCAGTCCCAGGCTGCTGAGGACCTGTGCAGACCAGCTCTCTGGGGTCCTCAGCTACATGTACAACCTGAGCCTCAGCCTGGAGAAGGTCCCTGTCCTGTGGAAGACCTCCTGTGTGATGCCGGTTCCAAAAACAGCACACGCCAAGGAACCGGCTCACTACAGACCAGTCGCACTGACCTCCTGATGAAGACCATGGAGCACTGACCTCCCACCTGATGAAGACCATGGAGCGGCTCATCCTCACCCATCTCCGCTCCGTGGTCAGCCCCACCCTGGACCCGCTGCAGTTCGCCTACAGACCCAACATCGGAGTAGAGGACGCCGTCATCTACTTCCTGCAGCGGACGCTCTCCCACCTGGAGCCTGCAGGGGGCGCTGTGAGGGTCATGTTCTTCGACTTTTCCAGTGCTTTCAATACCATCAGGCCGGCACTGCTGCAGGGGAAGATGGAGGACGCGGGAGTGGACAGTAGCCTCACTGCTTGGACCATCAACTACCTCACTGCAGGGACCATCAACTACCTCACTGCATGGACCATCAACTACCTCACTGCATGGACCATCAACTACCTCACTGCATGGACCATCAACTACCTCTCAGACCGACCACAGTACGTGCGGCTGCGCAGCTGTGAGTCTGAGGTGGTCGTCTGCAGCACTGGGGCCCCTCAGGGCACTGTCCTCTCACCGTTTCTCTTCACCATCTACACCTCAGACTTCACACACGACACACACAGCTGTCACCTGCAGAAGTTCTCCGATGACTCCGCCATCGTGGGCTGTGTGTCTGAGGGGAACGAACTGGAATATCGGTCGGTTATCAAGGACTTTGTCGACTGGTGTGAGCGCAACCACTTGTGCTTGAACACCAATAAGACCAAGGAGATGATCATCGACTTCAGGAGAAAACCACTTTCCCACACGCTGCTGAACATCCAGGGGGAGGACATTGAGCTGGTGGACAGCTTCAAGTACCTGGGTGTTCACATTAACAATAAACTGGACTGGTCCCATAATACAAACGCCCTGCACAAGAAGGGCCAAAGTCGCCTCTTCCTTCTGAGGAGGCTGAGGTCCTTCTGAGGGGGCTGAGGTCCTTCTGAGGAGGCTGAGGTCCTTCGGAGTGAGCAGGCCTCTGCTCAGGACTTTTTATGACTCTGTGGTAGCTTCTGCCATTTACTACGCTGCCGTGTGCTGGGCCCCGGGCAGCACAGAGCGGGACAGAAACAGACTGAACAAGCTGGTCAGGAGGGCCAGCTCCACTCTGGGCTGCTCCCTGGGCTCTGTGGAGGAGGTCGGGGACAGGAGGCCCCTGGACTCTGTGGAGGAGGTGAGGGACAGGAGGCCCCTGGACTCTGTGGAGGAGGTGAGGGACAGGAGGCCCCTGGACTCTGTGGAGGAGGTGAGGGACAGGAGGCCCCTGGACTCTGTTGGAGGAGGTGAGGGACAGGAGGCCCCTGGACTCTGTGGAGGAGGTGAGGGACAGGAGGCCCCTGGACTCTGTGGAGGAGGTGAGGGACAGGAGGCCCCTGGACTCTGTAGAGGAGGTGAGGGACAGGAGGCCCCTGGACTCTGTGGAGGAGGTGAGGGACAGGAGGCCCCTGGACTCTGTGGAGGAGGTGAGGGACAGGAGGCCCCTGGACTCTGTGGAGGAGGTGAGGGACAGGAGGCCCCTGGACTCTGTAGAGGAGCTGAGGAGCTCCTTCAGTGGAAGACTGAGACACCCTCAGTGTAGGAAGGAGCGCTACCGCAGGGCCTTTATCCCCACCGCTGTCAGACTGTACAATAAGTCACTTTAAATGATCACTGTGTGAAAACCTGCACTACTATTGACACTGTTTCCAATTGACACTTGTCACTTTTGTTGTACATAATTATTGTCACTTTATTGTACATATATATCCTGCATGTAACATGTTTATTGTTCATATATATCCTGCATGTAACATGTTTGCACATTTCCTCCTTTTGCACAATCTGAGTGTTCTATCTATGCCAAATGTGACATGTACATTTCTCCTCTGTGAGATAAATAAAGCACATCTTATCTTATCTTATGTTGGTTTTATAGAGATCTATGTATAATGCACTGGTGGATAGGCTGTACAAGTTTGGTTAATAAATTAGACATTTATTGTTGTAATTTTCATTATTCATAGTACTCATTCTGGGATGAATTTAGACACCAAGGTATTTCATAGTTTTAACAATGGGAATATTAAGAACAGACATATAATTTGTCAGTTGACTCCAGGGCAACAAAGCAGAGTTTGTCCAATTTACTTTGTAGCCCGATATTTTGCCAAACTGCTCAAAAGTGTCAAGCAAAAATGGAATTGATTTTACTGGATTGCTAGTATAGATTAGGATGTCATCAGTATACAGTGAAAAATGGTGAACGCTGTATTGAATCTTGATCGGCTCAGTTTCACCTGACTGTCTAATGAGTTGTGCTATTGGTTCTAAAGAGAGAGTAAATAACAATGGTGACAGTGGGCAGCCCTGGCGCGAACAGCGGGACACAGGAAACCCAGGAGAGCAGGAAGTGCCTGTTATAACCACTGCACTGGGGTTGGCATAAAGAGTTTTAATCATGAAGATGAAATCAAAACCAACATGGTAACAAGTAACTCCATTCTAATCGATCAAATGCCTTTTTGGCATCAAGAGAAAGAATGGCATTTTGGTTTGGGGCTTTAGATGAGCAGTCTATAACATTGTCTGATGCGAGTCGGGACTTGATGAATCCAGTCTGGTCATAATGGACCAGGTCTGGCATGTGTTTCTCTAGTCGCCAGGACCTTTGCAAACACCTTTAAGTCTGTGTTTAGCAGACTGATGGGCCGATAGGAGGAGCATTCTGTTCGGGGTTTACCTTTTTTGAGTAGAAGTGAAATAATTGCTTTATTGGAGCTGTCAGTGAAAGAGCCATTATTAATCAAAAAGTGTAACATTGTTAGGAGCAACAGTCCCAACTGAGGCCAAAGGGCACAGTACAATTCGGGTGGGATTCCGTCTAATCCTGGACATCTACCTGTGTTCATTGATTTAATCGCATCAGTGAGTTCCTCTAAAGTGATTTCTGCTCCTAATGAATCTGCAGACTCTTGTGGCAGTTTGGAAAGATTCAGTGATTTTAGAAAATCATTGCATTTTTTTGTAGGGCTGTCAAAAGATTACAATTTTTAATCGAGTTAATTACAGATTAAAAATTAATTAATCGTAATTAATCACATTTCGACAAAATGATGGCATATTTTTCTGTAGATGGTTGTTTGAATGGAAAGATAAATGATGACATAGTGTACATCCATCCATCCATCCATTTTCTACCCTTTAATCCATTTCTGGGTCAGGGGGGTGGCAGTCAGAGATGCCACCCAAGTCTCATAGCACCAGCCCCTCACTGACCCTCTGCAGGTGGTGAGTCCACAGGAGGACGGCTGCTCTCTGAGTGTGAGCATAGCCTCAATCTTTCAGTGGGGGCTTTGGGCAAAGTGGGGTTAAGTGTCTTGCCCAAGGACACAACGACAGCCGTCATCAGTGGGAGTCGATGGAGAAGGTGCAGAGGTGGGAATTGAACCCACGACCTTTAGGCCTGAAGGCCAATGCTCTACCAACTGAGCTACTGTCGCCCATATGTACATAAGAACTGTATTTGTTTATTATAACAACAAATCCGCATAAAATGGCATGAACTTTATTATCTTTCTGTAGAAGACAGTTTTTTTCCTCTAAAAATAAGCAAAAAGAGGGTCTGCTTGTTCAGTAACAAAAGGCAAGGCAAGGCAAGTTTATTTGTATAGCACAATTCATACACAAGGCAACTCAAAGTGCTGAACAAGATGCATTAAAATCATAAATAATTACAGAACATTAAAACGAAAGATAAAAATATAAAATCCCTCAGTTGTAGCACAGCTAAACAGCACCGTTTTTAACCTGGTTTTAAACATTGTCAGAGAGGAGGCCTGTCTCACATCTTCAGGAAGATTGTTCCAGATTTTAGCAGCATGAATCTGAAAAGCAGCCTCCCCATGTTTAGT